GGGGGGGGGAGTCGGGTCTGGTTTGCCCCCTCCCCCTCCCCCCCCCCCCCCCCCCACTCAAAAACAAGTTGGTACGCCACTGGGCCCGTAGCACTGCATTATGCTGAATCGCGAGCTCCGATCGCTGTTGACGTCGTTTTCCTGGAACCACTCGTGGATACTGCAAGCGTTTAACCAGTGTGCACCGTCTTGCCTACATTCCCGGTTACGCCGTGACGTACTCGACCTGTTGAAACTTATTGCTTCCGTCATTGTGGAGTACGCAAGGCAGTTATCTCGTTGCGCTGGTTTCGGTTATAAAAGCAAGGCAAAACGATCGTAGTTCCCGCCCTCAGTACACGTTGGACATCTTCCACACTTTGACACCGGATAACCGAATGAACGAGGATTTACATTTACTTCAGAGGTCACTCTCACCGTTTCCTCACCGTTGAGTAGCAGGATCAGCTGGCGACAAGCCGCTGATGAAAGGCTTGAGCATCAACAGCCCAAGCGTACTCGGTGCCGATGCGGGCGATGCGGGTTTCTGTCAACCGGGAGGCCAGCACAAACCGTGACCGTTCCAGCTCTTCGTCATGACACGGTGTTGCAGAGAGCAGGGTAAAATATAACCACACGGACCACCGAAGCAAACGCACTGCTATTGTAAATCTTGGCTTCTGATTGCGCCTTTGTAGATCATCTTATTATTTTTGCTGGAGAGACGCAAACGACGGGCATAACGAAATCGCTTGCATAATCCGCATACCTTGCAAAAGCATTTACCCAGTCACCTTGCGAAGAGCGCGAAACACGGAGTGCGCACCGTACTAAGCTTCCCCTGTTTTTTACCTTCCGCAGTTTGTACCTGCAAGTAGATATGCCTAGTGAAACTTAAACAGAGCGGTGCCAGAGAGAAGGAGACAAAGTTGGGAAAGCTTGCTCGCTCTCTTCAATTTCTCAACTCTCAAGTGATTGTACCATAAAAAACGCACCCAACGCCTCTTCCCAAAATAAAGAAAAAGCACTACCTTCACTACGTAAAAAATGGTCTCAGTTCATGCCTCTGTGGGCAGGAAGGAAATCTTGCCCTAATTTATTCACACCGCATGATGAGTGCAACAAACTCGCACGCGATTTAGAGAAAAATATCGGTGGTGACTTAAGTTTCCCTGAAATTTTGTATAACCGGTTGTTTGCAGGACCGAATCAGCTACACGAGCGGTGTGCGTCGCTATGCAAATGCAGTCCAACACGAAGCATAAAAACGGCAGATTTAGGACAACAATCCGGAGTCCATTATTCAATTAAAACGACGTAATATTTGTTGAAAACGCACGCAGCTTTTTACTCATGGTAAGCGTCGGGATATTTCCACAGTTTGAAACGGAACGAGGGAAGATTTTCTTTTAAAAACGCTCGCTGCGTCCACCCGGACCACCTGGACCGGATCAGCTGACGACGACGGGACTGGACCCGTTGAACCTCAACCCCCCCATCAACCAATTTGCATTTCGTGTTAGTGTGCATGTGGGTTTCAAGTTTCTCCAAGCACCGCACCACACACCACGAACGTTTCAGCTCTTTTTCGCATCGCCGTTTTGCACCAAACAGAACGAGATAGCCGAAGTCAACGCAGCGCTGTCGTGAACATTGGCTTGTGATTGCAAATATGAACATCAACAGCAGGAAGCTAACCAACCACCTAGAGAGGAGCATCTGAGTAACAGAAAGGCCAGAGCTAAAGAGTACTGAATAATTCAAAACCTGTATCTTAAAAATCGGAAAGTCTGTGCCCAGAGAGTATTTGATGGTGTCAATGAAGATAGTGTTGCCCCAGAGGAATTGGTCAATTACTGGTACCAGGTAATGAACCTAAGAGGGGAAGAACGACAGCAGTTATCGGAAGAATTGTGTAATGCGCCAGATGTGACGGTGGAGCCTATATCGGCGCAGGAGTTGATGGAGGCTCTCCCAAGTAATTCAAGTGCACCAGGTCCTGACGGCCTCTCTGTCAAGGAGTTTAAAGCTATTCCGACGACATTTTTGACAAAACTGTTTAACCTTTTCTTATGGTGGGGGCGGTTGCCACTTAAATGGGCCAATGCTAAAACAATTTTTATTCCAAAGACAGAGAGGTCTTCTAACCCAGCGGATTTTAGACCAATTTCTATTGGATTGGTTATTTTGAGAACCTTCCATAAGATAATTGACAAACGTCTCAGGAACATAGTCCACCTTGTGGATGAACAGCGTGCTTTTAAAAGTACTGACGGATATCTTGAGAATATAATGCTGTTGAGTACGCTTATTAAAACTAGTCATGCATCAGGGCGAAGCTTGTATACACTGTTAGAAAATTCCATCAATCTACGTGTAAAAACCGAGTGGAACATGTCCCGTTTCCTGGAAATGCACATAATGTGCTGTTTGCTTTCAAAAACGGGAACTGTACCATATGCATTGAAATGTGCTATTTAAGCAATAAGTATGAGCTTATCCGTATCAATAAAAAAAGCCTTACTAGATTACAGTTTATAGTCTGTTCAACTGGTATAACCGAATTGGACGCGCCCAAAAGTGCCGAATATCCAGGAATTTTTATGGAACTCAATCAGACCGCGGAAGTACAGCGCCCGTGAGCCGAGTTACGCCGCGCGAAGGAAGACATCTCTCTCCCGCGCATGCGCAAGCCATTGCCGGCCGGCTTGGGCCCGGGGGCTGCGGAATGCTGCTACCCGTTCGGAAGGCGAGTTTGGCGTTGTTGTCGCGTCGTCAGCGGCGTTCTACGGTGCGCAGACGGCTTCGTTTTCCAAGGTACGTATACGTTAAGTTGTTCCTAACGCCAGTGTTAGTTTACTATCTCTAAAGGCGTCGTATATTCCAAGTTCGGGATGCCCATCGTGCAGCGTCTCGTCTTCCCAGCCGCATAAAGCTAGGCCTTTTATAGTTCTTAATTCGGGGCGACATACTGCCCGACCCTATTTAGTAGTTGCGCACTAGGAGAGCACGGCTTCCGCAATATTCCCGCATTATTATGCCAAGCCGCTGTCAACATGCGTGACTTATACCCCTGTTACACGGGCACATTTAACCGCGGTTAACTCAACTTCTGTTTCGCGGCACCACAGATACCGCACTATACTCTCTGACAGCTATATCAGAAGAAGTGAAGAGCGCGAGCGCACTGCTTCGATAGATGCTCAAGATGCTCGAGCGCACGTTCGCCCATAGCTTTGACAGCATAGCCGCAGAATGTCGTCCGCAAGTATTGTGCGCTATCTGTGGCTTACCGTAACTGCAGTTAAATGTGCCCGTGTAACATGGGTATTAGGCGCGTCGAATTAAGCTAGATTCGCCGCTAACTTCAACCTCTCATGGTTCAAAGTTCAGCGCTTGATCGGCGAGGGGGATGGGGCAATTGGAGAATGAGGGAAGATCGGATTAGAAGACGTGAACATTGGTCATTTATGTTTTAAGGAACGAAGTATATTCCTAAGGTCAAAAGCGTAATATATTCTCAATACAGCGTTCGATAAAGAGAGCTTGTTTGTAACTTTTTTTTTTTTTTTTTTTTTTATGCGTTTGAAAAAGTTAGCGGAGCACTGCGTTTCTCAGCTTCTCGACCGTGTGAGCGTTCTTGGCAGCTTTTCGAATATGCGGTCAAATAAAGGTGGCACCTGCTTGATGCAGAGTAATAATGCAGGCTTATGCATCTTAGGAATAGCAACGCATTATAGTGCGATATTTTGAGTCGCCCAGTAAACTTATCTGCGCTGTGCCAGTAATCAATCATCGTCTTGCTAATGCTCGTGTGCGCGCCGCGGATGCTCCGTCACTCCAGGGCCGGTTTTCTCGAAGCGATGGTAAACCCATTTTGGTAAACCACGGTGCCTAGGAAGGGAAAAGTACCTAGGTGCTGTAATAAACGGCTGGATATAGAACAACAATAATTATTTTTGATTGGGCAATAAGATGCGCCATCTATCGGTGAAACAAGCCAGTCATTTTGTTCATCCTCTTTTTCCGCTGGTTGTCATCGATCTAGTATGGTATTTTAAGTCAAAATATAGTAATGTTGTACTTGAAGACCAATTTATTTGCTTCCGATGGTACGAAGAAATTTTAGCTACTATGCTAGAGTTTGTCGACGAATATTCGAAAATGTAAGAAACACTTCCTTCAATATGTTTCCCCATAAACAACGCATAACTTTCCCGTGTTTCTGCCGGTCTGGCAACGCCGGTGCTGTAGTCTCGTTTTCGTTCCTTGCGACGCACGTTTCTGCGATTCCTGCTGATCTCAACTGTTTGCCCTCTCTTCCATTTGTCCAACCGATTCACCGGTGACGAGAAGCTAAGCTTCTCGTCACCGTTGAATTGCTGGCCACCGGGGATATGTGGAAACCTCAATGCTATCGGCATACTGTCGACGCACTGTGAACAAAAAAACAGTACAATGCCTCAGCTGTTCACCCGGAACGAAGACTTTATTGAGGATAACCCCCTTTCTCCGCAAAGTAATCGCTGCTCACGAGTTGGCGTGCATAGTGTAACAAATTAAACGTCTTAGTATAAATATGTACCAACACTCGTTCGCAAAACATTTTTGTTTACTCACCATAAAAACACTTGCAAGGCTTATGTACCGTCATATGTCTTCGATCCCGGACTGCTGAAGAGTGATGCGTTCGCGGAATGCTGCCGTCGGCCAGTTTAGTAGTCCCCCTGAACTATCGCTTTGCTTGACATGCTAATAGGTTGATGGTGAGTCATTAATATAACAGCCAGATCGAAATGAATGTTCAGCAGAACCAAGCAGAACTATTAGCCCTCACTAAGCGACGCCGCGGCCATTTTGCTTCTAGGTACTGTTCCTCCCTCGGCGCCCCTGGTCTCCCAGTCACGTGACCTGGAATTCCCCCTTCTAGGGACAATAGTTAACTTTAAACCACGGTTCGCGTTCGAGAAAACGGGCCCTGGTGTTTTGTGGACTAAATTGATTGGATTTTTTCGGAACTGATATTTCCGAAATAACTCGGGCTACTGATAGACGAATATACTTCGAAATTACCCCCGTCGAGTCGAAACCTCTATTGTAATAGGTGGTATTCACTGGACGCCACATTGGAGCTCTCTGAACGCTGCGCATGCTCAGAGTGAACTCCCGCTTATGGCCTGAGAAGGACACCCTTTTTATGAAGAGTATTGCTACACGCACGACGTCGTGCAGCTCTACTGGAAGTTGCAGTACGCACGACGCGCGTTAATGTTCTTTCATTGGACGACCCGAATCCTGGCCATAGTGGCAGAGCTTTGCTCTGGCAATACAAATTACTGCAGAGCCCCCAAACAAATATTTTCGAAATCATGACCTTACCAACCTCGCAATTCACGAGCTTGCTCGTGAATATGTGACCAGACTCGCGCATTGTGCATGCAGCCTCGCACATTCATGAGCATGCTCGTGAATTGTAATAGGGTTTTGTGTGTCAAGTTCCCTTTTTTTAGAGGATGGGATTTGACTTGTTTTCATCGCGTATCAAGTTCATTCACCGCAACGGAGTGCGGTTTAGCGTTGTGAATTAAAGAAATATACTATACATATCACCAGAATAAAGCGATAAAACTCATGGGTATACATGCTAACCGGAAGAAACTGAAAATCTCCTCCCCAGATAAAAACTGCAAAGGTGTGCCATGTTTGAAAATAGTATAACTCCCAAAAGTCCTAGGTATTAATGCTCTCAAACACAATTGCAATCATAAACGTTTGGTTCAGCATTCCTTTATGACTAAAAAGATCTACTTTTTTTCAGGCAGAAGCATCTTCAACTGCCACTGGATGGCACCAGGTACTTCGAAGGCTTCAGCTTCCTCTCTGCTATGGAGCTGATGTACGCCACATACTGTTGTCTCAACCTAAACTACCCTGCTGAGCTGCCAGCAGCATTGAAGTTCGTTTAGAGGTAACTATGAATGTGTCTTTCAGTTATGAAAATGTGCACTGTGAATTTGCTTTGGAAAAATGTATCGTATGGACAGTTCTAATTCCTTCAAGTGGTGGAATTGTCAAGTGGATAATGCATTTCGTGAAGAAATAAATAGGCGATTTATTTTTGTCTGTGAAGCAGCAATAACTGATAAGTAATTTTTGACAGCGTTAATGACAAAAGGCCGTTAGCAATAAATTATGTACCTCATCTGTTATCGTGTCCTGACCAACATCCTATGCAGTTTGGCATACCTTTGAATGGTGGTGTGCTCCTCAACGTATTTCCGGCAAAGCCAATTGGGCGCAGAATTGGAGATTTCGAAGACTGTAGGCGACTTATTTTTCGGAAGATACTAATTTTCCCAAATCGCCTACAATTAAAAAAAAAAAAAAAAAAAAAGGTCCCGCGAACGATTTTGGTAACACGTAAACACATTGGAATCTATATTGGGATCCCGCCGCATCGCGAAAATTATAACCCGCGAATTATTCCAAATCTTCAACTTTTACCTCAATCGCGAAATATTGAGCCCGCGAAAAATAAGTCGTTTACAGTATAGGGCACAAGTCAAAAATTTCAAACACTGTTTTCCTTTGGCAATGTGCAATGTTTCCGAAACTTGTTGGAACACACAAACTGTTCATTACCTCATAAACGTGCGAACTTGTCGGTGGCCGAACGCTTAATGCTTAATGCAACAATTTTGTGCGCTACGTCATAGATTAATGTAATCTTAAGAGGTAATACAGTTGCGTGTTCCTTTGCTGAGTACTGTACATACATATACAGGATTTTTTTTATTCTTACAGATTTGTTTAAAAAAAAGCCATAAAAGCTACACTTATGCGGTTTGTGCGAGTGAGTTATACGCTCTGGGGGACATGGTGTGGGTGGCTAATCTTTGCAATAAGTCGGCCAATTAATTAAAATTGGTTAACTTTTTAATTAGTGAAAATAGACATGGTTCCAATTAAAAACTTGCTGAGTGTTATCGAAAGCCATTAAATGAGTCATTTTCAGAAACACTTTAAGCGCGTGAGAAGTGTAGTAGTACAATAAAGTTACCACTTGTGGAGCACGATGCTGGCGGTTGCGGTAAGGCGCCCGCGCGATGTTTCCGTCTCTTAGCTAGCCCCAGCCTTGTACCTGCTCCACGAGTAGTAACTTCAGCACACTTTTGCGCTTTTCACGCGCTCAAAGTCCTTCTAAAAATTACTGATCTAGGGGATTTGAACGACGCTCAGCAAATATCCAATTGGAACCATACGACTACTTCCACTAATTAAAATATAATTAACGAATTTCAATTAATTAGCCGACTTATCGCGAAGATTAGCCACCCCGGTAACATCCCCCTGGGCGTATAACTCACTCGCACAAACCGCATAAGTGTAGCTTTCATGGCTTTTCTTTAAACAAACCTGTAAAAAAAAAAAGAAAAACAGCATAGCAGACGCATAACGATTCCTCGAACGTATTGCAGTATTCCCATGTAAATATTAAGGGTTTCATTCAGCTTGGTCACACTGTCGCTGACGCATTGCCAATTACATCAAGCAAAGTGTCTAACTTCCGACAGCAATTTGGAAAAAAATATGTTTGGTAGAGCAGAATATTAGCCTTGGGGTTTGTGTTTGTTTGGCACCTTCAACAGCAACCTGGAACATGTTGAACCATGTTTTTGTTCAAACTTTACACTAAGAAAGGCAAAGGTCTAATGTTAATGTGCTGCTTTCTAGACACCCTTATTAACAATTCGCTTGGCAATTCGCAATTCGCTTTACAATTCGTTACTCACTTTAATTGGATGTGCTGCGGGGAGGACCGTTTCTTTTTAAATCCTATTATTATGTTGCAATATAATGAAAGAATCAACATGAATCTGGTACTCAGATATATTGTCATATAGAACCAATACTAGAACTTATGCATCCTACGGTACGTGCAACTTATATTTTAACCCGCCTTAATATCACTCGGCTGCAAATGCATGGGCCCTTGTTCTGCAGGGGCACATAAATATACCTGTGACCGGGCTATGCTCATCGGTTAGAATAAGTAATATGAACCAAAAGACATGAATGTTCAGTGTTCTAATATTAACCACAATATTCTGCTTAAGCACTTCAGGCAAGCTTTTTTGTAATATTGCATTGACTGGTACTCTGAATTCCTTTTTTAACCGAAGTATTGTTGTGTACAACGTTACTAGGCAGGCGAGCTGGTTAATATGGACATTCTACAACCCGGGATGGAGGCTACGAAGACATACGTCTCAATTGAGATGGATGTGTTTGTCCTCCTTTGTAGCCTCCGCCTCGGGTTGTAGAATGTCTTAGCGTTGTCTGCTCACGCAAGTTCCGAAATGTGCGCAGTTATTACTGAAAACTGATGCCAGTGGGTTGAAATTTTTTTTTGTACAATCAAAATTTGTTTTGATGCAAGGATCAGACTTGGAAGCTCATGGTGTGTGCACGGACTGTCCAGATTAGGGGCGTTTGTCTCGGCTTGAAAGTATACTATAGGCAAGATTTAGAATTCGTTCAGATTGGATTACTAACCGATAGAGAAGTTAAAGAAGGAGTCAGGAACTCCTTAGCTTCTGTTAGACATCTTCCTCTAAATAATCCCGCCCATTAATTAAGTGCTCTTTCTTTCAGGCAACTTGTGGCAATGGACCCACAGGAGGGGTCCCGGCAGTCTTGAAGAAAAGTTGCTCTGGTGCGTCTGAAGGCGCAGGGAGCCCACCAAGAGTTCTCGAAGTTCCGAAAGAAGTGGAAAGAAAAATCGGTGCTTGTTTAGATTCATTTTTTTTCTATTGTTAATATTACTATTTGTTGTCATAGGCCACGATGGTTCTTTTCGAGGTGTAGCTTGTCAGCATAATTTTTTGTGACATTTTTCTTTAGCGGACTGCTCACTTTGATATTTTTTTTTGATGGCTGAGCTGCCCCAAATATATTTGCGGCATGAAATGTTTTTTTATTGTGTATGTGTTCTAGTCATTTAAAAGAAAAATAAATGTAAAAATTTTTGAAGCAGCAAACTGTTCAGTCTTCTTCGCAATAGGTCCGTTGCTATGGTTTGGAACCAGAAGGACCAAGCGTGAAATTCGTTTCATAAGGATGTTTACAAATGTTTATATGCCTTTATCCCCGTCCCTACATGTACAGAGCGCGACACTGTTAGCGCGAACAAGCGATCGCCGGTTTTTTCAGTTTTTCTCTTTGAAACCAAGGGATGTCATCCAAGTTATTATTGCTACGGAAAGAGCTCATATAGTTCTATAATGTAAGCAATAAAATTTCATGTTCGCTCATACTATCTAGAAGTAAAATGCGAAAATCCGCCGACGCCGTGTTCGCGCTAACAGTGTCGCGATGTGTACAACTATCTCTAAACTTGGCGTAGCATGCGAGCACTTTCTCATAGCATTCCTGGCTGTTCTATTAAGTATATATGTCACAGATTCATTGTTCTGTTTTTCAGGTTAGTGCTCGCATTAGATACGACAGTTCAAATTTTCCATACAAGTTTGGGGAACATTTCCGCATTGCAGGTAATTTTATGTTGCAAAGACTTGCATCAAGTTGCGCCTGCAAACTGTCAGGACATCCCTGTTTTGCATGTCACATATCAGCTTTTTTAAGGAGAAACTTGGCATGTGACATACAAAGCCCGGATGTACTCGTGAATAGCGGTAGTAACATAAAATGGGGCGAGTACTATCACAAACAAGACTGAACTTTTTCCGTACACTCTAAAAAAAAAAGGCGTCATCTTAACACTTTTTGGAGTGTAAATGGTTTGTCGCAGAATCCACCCTTTTTTGAGAGTTAGGGTTACTCTTCGAAAGATGGTGTTGACTTTACTCTTTTAAGAGTAACAAGGAGTTACTCTTGACAAGAGTTACAATTACTCTTCAAAACGAGGTGTTGACTTTACACTTTTGAGAGTAACCAGGAGTTACTCTTGACGAGAGTTAGTGTTACTCTTTTCTAGGGTAACGGTTACTCCTTGAAATGAGGTGTAAAATTAACACTTTTGAAGAGTAGCATAGACTCCTACAGGTGGTGTTGAACGTACCCTCGAAGCGAATGTTGTGGCTACTCTCTTAGGTGCAAATAGAACAACTCTAATGAGTGGTCAAGGCTACACTCTCATGCCAAGAGTTATTTTAACTCCCTCGTAAAGGGTAACTTCAGCTCCATAAGAAGTGTTAATTAAGCTCTACGTCAGAGCTAAAAGTACACTCTGTTAGGTGTTATCTTTTCCCTTTCACGTAGTGTGCCTGAACTCTATAGAAGGGCAAACAAAGAGCTTCCAAGACATTGAATCCCTTAAGCAAGGTGTTTATTTCCCTCGAATATGGGCATTTCTTGTTCACAGCTACAACACTCCGCAATGCACGGATGCGAATGTCCGAAGAGAATTCTGCATGTGCTCACAGGACGAAAGGTGTTGCTTGAGCCTTTTCAGAGGGTGCCCATACAGGCCCTCATACAAGGTCGAGTGAAAACAGTAATACGGTGCTCGTTAAAAAAACAGATTTTAATGTACATGTAAAAAAATACACTCATTTAAGATCTCAATCTTCCAGTTTTGAAATTAGATCTAGTACCAAGAATGACTTGGTCTTGTAGGTCAAGCCAATGAAGTTGCCAATCACAGCAAGTGACCAGGATGCTTTTGGACAGCAGGAAATGTCATGGACCCAGTATAGCGCAAGAATGAGCGCAATACCGGCCACAATGTCCGTTACCTCGAAAGAGCAGTCCTCCAGCACCACTGTGAGTGGTGAACTTGAGGCCCCTCCCCTGACTTGCATCACAGGGAAGGCTGGCTGGACATGATCCTCCTCCTGTGAAGAAGAAACATGGGCAATTTGTAGTATTTGAAAGGAAGATAATTACCAAAGAAAGTCTACTCAGTCTCCTCGGGGTAATTACAGCAATTTCAGGGTGTCTAGCGAATTATTATTTTGAAATTCCCCAACTTTTCCAGATTTTCCCTGACAATTTCAGGTGAAATTCCCTGACCTCTGTAGAGGCGGTTCAATATATGAGACCATTACAACACAAGGCATTGAGCATTGAGCACTGTGAGCAAATTTCTAGAACCACGGGTTTTTCGAGTAATTAAGCAACTGCAGTGGTCCCCGGATTCAAACCCAGGACCTCTGCATGACACCCAGGAGTGGTGCCCACTCGGCCACCACATCATGCGCGGCAATATATGTGGCCCCCTCGTGGGCCCAAAAAAATACAACACAATGCAAATAGCACATCAAGTAGCACACCATTAAAGGGACACTTCAGTAAAGTGACAATTTGTAGATGAAAATATTTGTTCATGTTACACCAGCACACAATAAGAGCAACAACACCATATCCTGCCTTTTGCTATAATTTGGCCTTTCAACTAGCTCAAAGATTGAAGCCTAAACTTTCTTTCCCCACTTCACACCACATTGTCTTTATAAATTGCCAGAATTACCAAATAAGCACGACAGGCTTATTTGCATTTTATTGTATGTATCTCGGTATGCTCGGAGTCTGCTGAGGTAATACATGCCTATATAAAACACTGTTGCTTGTTGCTTTATTAGAGCATCTCTCATAGAGGCTGAAGGCATAAGACCAATACTGCCTGTCAGCCCAGCAACAGGTGCAGAACAAGTGTTTGAACATCTCCTTCACCATATTTAGTCACATTATAATATTTCTTAAGTTTTTTTGGCAAACCAAGTTTTTAAACAACTTCATATTTTTTAAAGCTACTCTTCTGATTTCTTTCGATGCTTTTTGTGTGTTCTTCGAGTTGCTGATGATGAATCTCTATTAAACTGCAGGTTTCTTTTTTTCTACGAGATGCCAGAGAGGCTGCTCTTAGAACAGCCTCCCTGGCTGCTTTTGCTTCACAGGTACCTGCGAGCAGGGTTCTGAGTTACCATGCATACTGAAATTGATATGTGAGCCAGTTTTCACTTCGTTTAAGAGGTTAGAAATTATATCAGAATGGAATACCATACCTTCTCAATGAGAGAAGCTGTTGAATCCTTCAGCAGGGCTGCCAGGCTCTTTACCACCTCCATGGCAGGAGCTGCAAAGAATGAGGTTGCTTAGTTTTCTGATGGAAAGTGTATTCTTATATGGCAATAATTCCTAAAATTCTATGCCAAAACACACACCACCCCCCGACTGCATAAAAATAAATATCAAATCTGGGATAAGAAACCCATATGTTTCATTCAACACAGCTGAATGATCACAATAATGCAGAATCCAATCAAGAAAGATATACCCAACTTTTTTGGACCTAATAAGAAAAAAAACTATGCATTGCAGAAAGCTGAAAGTTCACCAGCTTTAATGTAAAGTCAGCAATATTAAAAATGAGTAAACAGCTTGCTAAGTGTCTTTAGTTAATACCAGCACACTCATTTGCAAGACAATAGACCATTTTCGAAAATCCCAGGAGCCATTCATAGGATATACTTGAATAGTTGACTGGGACTTGCTTTTTTGCCGATTGAACACGAGTCCGAACCAAACACTTAGGCAGCACTCATGGCTATCTCGCTCAGCCACAACCATCCAAAACCATTAGTACCCCTTCTGACATGAATACCTAAGAGAAAGATAATCCACATCGCTCTCCCTCTCTCTCTATTTTCTCCTTTGTATGCAATGGCAGCCGTAAGTGGTTGCATTTATTTATGGCATCCCCAAGTTATTACCCCCTGACAGTGGCATCGGGACAAGGGTGCAAGGGGAGGGGGCAGTTGCCCCCCCCCCCCCCTTTTTTTTGATATTTGAAACAATTATAGCAGACAATATGGGAGAGAGGGATAGGGCTTAGCTTCCCTGCACATCACCCCTCCACCTTCCAAACGGTAGCAATTTAGCTGGCCTCTGCCCACAGTGGCGAAAGACATAGCTCTATATTTATACAGACTTTCCCGAAGGGTAGGATGAATACAATTTCTTAACAACTGGATTTGTCCAAGTGGAATCGTCCAAGTTTTTATAGATTAATTAGTGTGAACAATCTATTGTGTTTCAGAGCTGGCTGCCGTATACTATAGTTTATTTTACACCTTTACAAAAAAAAAAGCTAGCAAATGCATATAACATCTCAGTTTGGGGAGACCATTGACTAAATGTAATTTCAGCTCTACAAGGAGCTAATTTGCTATAAAGTACCATTTAACCTTAATAAAAAAATAAAAAATTATACATACTAAAATGCACAAATTCTATAAAAAAAAATATATATACATATATATAAAAGTAGCCCAACCCAAGAACACACAGGTTGTGATTCGCAAGAGTTAAAATAATTGATAAATGTGCCACATGTCAAAACAAAGAATGCATTATGGCCTGCTTAAGCTCCGCCACAACCGACACTACTAGATAGCAAGCTGTTCATGTGTGCCACTTCATCATGCAGCTAGCTGCACAATAGATGTGCGCTCTAAATTTCTTGGTGCATGTGAATGAACTGGTTGCGCCACTCTGAATGCAGGTGCAGGCGCAGGCACATGCATTGCAAGGTCGAATTTAGAGCTCTTTTTTTCTTTTTTTTCAAATAGTAGGAAGGTGAGTTTATAAATTGCTTAGGCCTACTCTCGCAACATCATAGTGACCCTCAACCCTTCATCTAGCTTTAAAGGGCCTCTAAAAAAAAAAATTATTTTAAGCAGTTTGGTTGGGACGCGCGTGTCAAAAGAATTTTATGCGAAAAAAAAATGTTCAGAGCAATATTGACGGCAAAAGATTGATTTCAAATTATGCGGGCAAAGTCCATGACATGACAGAATGGTCATTTGCTCTTTCCACCTCAACGAGATGGTCATTCGTTCTTTCCACCTCAACGTGAAGGTGAAGCCGATCCACCTTTCCTCCACACGCCCGAATGCCAAGAGAAAAGCAGTTGAAAGGAGGTGACTACTGA